AGAGAGAGAGAGAGAGAGAGAGAGAACGAGAGAGAAGGTTTCCCCAGTCGTTTTTAGTAGTAAAAGATTTATATTTCCCATAGTGCCAGCTTGAGCTTTCTTCTTAACCGTCTACACGGGGCGATGCGATCTTCAAAAGCTTTCGCAAACAGTTGCTTCCAGGTGTAAGGCTAAATTTCATTTGACACTCGCCTATTTTTATCGTTTTCTCCTCTCCCTCCGCATCGCCTTGTCATTACTTCATTCTGTTCCTATCCCTTACTTAAAGTTGGTTCTTTTCTTCCTATTTTTCAACATTGTGGCGTTTTTTTTATTTTTCTGTTTGAATTTTTTTTTTTACCTTTTGTTTTCACTTTCCCTTTTAGTTTCCATTTTTCTTGCTAATGCTACCTTCTGGCTTAGTGATTTTTTGTTTCGTTTCCAGCCTTGCTCCATTCACCAGGGAGTGAAAGGAATATGAGGCTTCCCTCCTCCGTCTTTGTCTCAAGACGCATCAAAAGAATCTTTTTCTTTCCCCCAAACTGAGTGATGTGCTTAATTTTCATTGTAGTGTTAGGCGTTTGGGGCAAGTTTACTTCTGCGAAGCCTTGTTCTTTTGGGGAGTTTTAACGAGGTGAGGAGTGGAGCCGCCCAAAGACGAATGAGTGAAGCTGGAACACGATGAAATATTGTGTGTGTGTGTGTGTGTGTATGTGTGTGTATGTGTGTGTATGTTTGCATGTGTATTTGTGTGTTTGTGTGTGCGTGAGTGTGTGTGAGTGTGTGTTAGTGTGTGTCAGTATGCTGTGCTTTCTAGCCTCCCGCTTCCCTACACGTGTGTGTGTGTGTGTGTGTGTGTGTGTGTGTGTGTGTGTGTGTGTGTGTGTTTATGTTTCGTATTTGCATAATGCCTGAGGGTGTGATTTCGTCCAATAAACATTTTTGCGGGCTTCAAAAGCATTTTTTAAAATGTTCTTAGTTTCAAATCGTTGGAATATGCCAATACAATAAGCATCCCGCTTTGAATTTACATTTACCAGCTCGGGTATTTCTCCTTGTTAAAAAAAGAGTGCAAGACACAAAGACTCCCCATAGCTTGTGTCTTTCCTGACGTGCTTTTAGCGTTATTATACTCTGTTCATTTCCTGCCATCAAGCTTGATAGACTGATTCCGCTTTGTTCCCATATGGCTTGTCCTAATAACTAAGTCAGCCTAATGCATAATGTCCTAACTGTCTAAACATATTGATCACCAGCTGCGCCTTCCTTTCGCACAATTGTTTTAAGATGGGGAACATGATAAAGATAACATTGTTAGAGTAGATAGACCGATAAAAGAGGATGGAATGATGGAAAAAACGGAATGGAATAGATTTGGATCAAACAGACGGGAACGAAATCAAATTAAATTTCTAAATGCCTCGACCTGTTATGGCCTAGACATGTGATACGTCTCAAGATAATATCTAGTCTTTTATTGGTTGTGAATCTTCTTTTCGTCTCCATCAGGTCTCCTGCTTCCAAATTTCTGCTGGAGATGATGACGTTGTAAAAACGCTTTAGAACTTCCACAATCAGGGTGGTTGCGGTGTACGATAGGTCGTTTCTTTTGTTCGAACCCCCCCTCCCCCCCTCCTAAAAATAATAACCTTTCTACAGTAGTTTGTGCGTAATAAACCTAACAGATTTGCGAGAGATGCAGAACCTTATGGTGGATTAGCGCAGAATAGAATCTCAAAAGCTTAGGAGAGACAAAAAGGGACATAGTGCGAGAGAGAAAGGGGGCGAGACAGAGAGAGTAGAGGAAGGGGAAAGGAAAGAGGGTGTGTGTGTGTG